ACAACTAACCACTTCTTAACATACATCACGCCCTCCGTTGCTCTTATTGGTTGTAGGTCTATCCAATTGAGTGCAGAGGCATTTTTTTCCTGGTTCGTTCGAAACACGCCCCATAATCACAGCTCTATGGAGCAGTATCAGACTCATATTCTGACTAGAATTGAGTAGGACTATGTCAGGCTACATAAACCTTATCTTTACACCTGCTTCTGAGGGAGTGTTGTTAATGGAGGAATCTGTAGGTGCATCTTTAGTTACAAAGCTTTTGAAATAGAAAACATCACTTAATTAAGCTGTTTATGTACAAAATGTGATCACAGTGTGTACAGCAAATGGAATTACAATCATGAGGTCTATTTTTGAGGCTTAGATGATTATTTTGATAACCTAAAAGGAAAATAATAGTAGCTGCATGCAGCTTTGAGGTTTAAGCCTGGGAGACATGCAGTGGTTCTATTTTGGCATTGAACTTTTTAAATATTTCATATTTATATGTGGGAAAGCTGTTCTTGTTAACCCAAGTCTCAAAGTCATTTTTAAAACATGTATTGTGTTTAAAATATTAATTCATATGAATTGGTGCTGGAAGTGCTACTCTTCATGGGGAAGGACAAAGAGCATTTTTCTATAAGTTTCCAATGAAATAAAACATATACTTACCTGAACACATCAGTGCCCCACCCAGCCACAGCGGTGAAGAATCGTGGGCCAAGGTCTCGTGCAGGGTTTATGGGATAGCCGCAGTTCAGACCCATAGAAACTCCGATGGCCATTATGATCAAGCCAATGCAGAGTGGTTCCATGCCTTTTGGGGCGCCGATGTTTTTCCTGTCAGTGATGGCCAGGATGCACAAAATCAGAGCACCAGTTGCTATGACCTTCAAAGCAGAATCAAAGGATCGTTAAAAAAAATTTTCTTAGAATTTAGGGAACATTAGTAAAAGAAAAGATATTTGGATCTATTGATATCTTTGAAGTGTTTGACAAGGGCAGTGGCCCTTGTGGCCAACCCACCCTCTAAGCTTGTTTTAGCTATTTAATGTGCTTTTTGACAGGATGTTTTTGAGTCCTCTCCTCTGCTGCGATGACCTACGCCCTGTGTTTCTCTAAGCCTATTAAGGGGTCTCTATTCCTGTTTCACACTGCATAAGACAGCTTAACCTATATATATATATATATATATATATATATATATATATATATATATATAAGGACATTGTCTGACACAGAAGTTTTCCTTAGAGTTTGGTCAGTTTGATCATTCTATACCATTTCAAAGACTCTTTCATATGCAGCCTTCTTTTAGTCTGTCCGAAGGAAAGGAGAGCTGTATCCTTTGTGGCCCAGGGTATCCCGTGATACATTGGGAGCCCAAGCAAGCCAGCCCTGTTGGTTATTGCGACTGAAAGTAGTTAATTCAATAGGTTAGTGAGTCATATATGTCTTGGTTAATGTTTGGTTTATGAAACGGTTCTATCTGTCCCTGTGCAAATGGGTTTGGTTGACTTTTAAGCTTAGATTCCAATATCTGTGCAGTGAGGGGACTCCAAATCTGACATCTGCGACGATGGTACTGCTACTGAAACTCCTCAAAAATGTAATTAGCACACAGAACAGCAGTAAGAAGTTCGGCATCCATTCTTTGCATGCTTTGTGAGTCAATTGTCGCGGTTGCTAGATCAGAGAGCTCACGCTGATTGAAGTGCCGTGACTGCTGGAGAAGGCTAGACCTGTTCTATTTTGGAGCTGAACTCTTCCGGCTTCCTTATTTTCAAAGCCTTCGAAGAACCCAGTGCAGATAGGCCGGGTCCTTCAGGAGACTCAACCACCAAAAGTGAAGACAGCATTTGTGTGTCTCTTTGATGCCCTGCGTCACATCTCGGATTTACCCCACCTTTCACCCATAGACTGTCTGAGATAGACACCAGTCCCACCGTGACCCTGACAGAATAAGCGGGAGAAGATTGATGGATAGATGTAAACACATGCAATTTTCATATGATTTTTAATATTACTTAGCATTTTTCTGTTTTATTATTCTGCATTTCTTTCTTTTTTTTGACGAGGTCCCCACTTTTATATGTAGTCAATTCTGAGAGATCCAGGACCCCTCTTGGCTATGTCTTTAAAAAGTAATCAAAAGCTAGATTTTCAGTTATATTATGGTAACAGAGTTTAAAAGTAAAATGAAATATTTATTTTATTTTTTATTTTTTTCAAAATGACCAGAAACAGAAGTCCCCCAAATGGCAGGTGAGTAAATAACAGCCCACTTGTGGGAATTTTGGCTGGTACTGGTCTGTGCTTAGAGTGTTAACCATAACCATGTAAAACATTAAAAGCTGTTCAGCAGACAGTTTATATCAAATTAAAAAAAGATTAAGTGTTTGTAAAAATACCAGCAAAGCTTTATTTAATGGTTTTTATGACAGTTTCTTGACTTCCATTATTCCCTGTAATAAAAATATATTTCTCAAGTGCAGATTCTAGAAAGAAATACAAGATTAATTTGCTAAATAATACAAAAATTCACCAATAATATGAAAATAGAAATAATGATTTGACTGTCTAATCTTAAGGAACCTTTATCTTAAAAATGAAGCATCTGTTGCAGCACGAGAACATGATTGAAAACACTAATACCTTCTTTTGTCCTATGTCTGTAAAAATAAGGGTTCAAAAAGTGATCTGCACTGATAGCTCACATAATTACTCATGCCTTTCAAATGCTCAACCCTCTCCAGCTCCCAACTGTCACTCATCTCATCCACCTGCTGGTTTCCCTTATATTGGGCTCAGTTCCAGCTATCAGGGTGGATCATTGTTTTTTCCCTGTTTGATTTCTGTTTCTCCGGTCAGTCTGTTTTGTTAAATTTAGTTAGTTCCAGGGTTGTTGTCCCTTTTCCTGTCAGGAGTTTATTCTGAAGCCAGTGTCCTCAGGCGAGCTATTTCTCTAACCAGTGGTGAGAGCGTATCAGCATTTCCCTAGTGATTCTGTTTTCCTGATTCCGTTCCCTTTCATCCAGTGGCCCTGTCTGGTCTGCCCGCCTGAATCTCTGTTAGACTCCTGCTGGATTTTGCCTCCAAGGTGCGTTTCTGTCAGAGCTGGAAGCTCGACGCACAGGACTTTGAACCTGCCTTTGCACTCTGATGGATTCCTGGAACCCGGATCTGCTGTTTCTGAGTGAACTGTACTGTACTGTTAAACCAGGTAAGTGACTCACTCTAATTATCATCTTCTGTTAAGATGATCGTGGTCACTTACCTGTGTTTCTCTCTACAGAATCAGTGATGGGTTGCGCCCCACACCTGCAGTCGCTGCGGTTGCAGTTCTTCAGCAACGTGCTTCTGTTTTCGTTTAATAATCATTATGAACTTTCCTACTGGCTGTCTCACCTGGAATACTGGGTCTATCTGTCCCGTTTTATGACAGTTTAATAATGAGTCATAATGACAAGAAAAGCATATTTTGCTAAAGTTTTGACCTGCAAATGATATGGGTCTGTGTTTACAAAGATTTTCAGAGTCCTCTCAGAAAGCTTCTAAAATAGTGTAAAAAACATTATGCTAAGGAAAATACCATAAGAGTGATTCAGATTGTTGCTCAGAGGGTTAAAAAATGTGTGGTTGACCATTTTGGTAAGTGTGATGCTGTTTACAGTTGTGATTGAATGATGCAAGAAAAAAAAACATAGACTGGATTAAGATAGGTGCATCATTATGATGAAAAGTTGTAACGAAAGAATATATGTCATGCTTTCGCCATAATGGAAATCTAATGTTATTTTGATTTGTGCCTTTATTCTACTTTGCCTACATGTATAAAACAGATGCGTTTGGCAAAACAATGACCTAAAGAGGTTTAAGAACTAAACTGGAGAGAGAAGCCGTACCTTGTCAACAACCCGGTAAAGATGTGCAAAAGCTTTTAAATGTATATTTACTGCAAAAAGGATCACACACTGAAAATCATGTGTAACTGGTCAACCATGAGCTTTAGAGATTTTTTTTATTTTTTTTTTACCACTTTTACCATTGCCTTTTGTGTGGTGAGTAACCATTATAACATGAGTAATGTTTATTGATTCATTACAATGACAATCCTGTTTTTTCTGTTTAACATGTTAAGTTACCTTCCTTGGCTGTAGATATAGACCAACCTTAACTGAGTAGCCATTTTTAAAAAATATGTTTAACAGGCCCTCACTGTCATCCCTTAGTCAGAGACAGCTGCAAATGTCTTAACTGCTCTAAGGAGAAAAGGAAATTCAGAATCTTCTTTCTAGAAAAAAATTCAATAAGCAGGAGCTTAGAACCAAAGCAGCTCGAGGTCCAGTTAAAGATTTCTACTTTTAGTACTGAGATGAATGACCTCACACATGGCCAAAAGTATCAGCGCACAGTAGTACTGTGCTTGACAAGCCAGCAAATGCATCTGACCTTCACCTCCCAACGTAAACATTGCAATACACCATGGATAGACGGATACATTTTAGAAAATAATTCAAAAAATATTAATTTTTTTTCAATCTAATGTTTTTTTTTTTTTTTTTTTAGAAGGAGTCCAAAAAATGTATTTGTAGTCATTTATTTCAGTTTTTTGTGTAAGTGCATCTTTCTGGTAAATGGCTTATTATAACTTAAACATTTTAGCTTATTTGTGTCTTTACATCGAGAAGTTACTTTTGAAGAAATGTGTTTTGAATTTCACCTGGTCTACAAACCCATTTAGCAGTGAGAGATGTTTCGCAGGGTAAGATGCAAAAATGTTGGCTGTTGCATTTTCACCAGTAACTTCGAGTTTTCCACCAGTGTAGTCCATCAAAGCATCTGAAGAGGGGGAATTTTAGTTCAGCAAATGTAATGCAAAACCATTTATTATAAAAAAAAAATAGACATAATGTGTGATATTTCTTTGCTCTTTGTTTTATTACATATTCTAAATTAAACTCACCATAATATAAACCAAAGACAGCACAGGAACCAACAAATGCTCCAAGGAACTGTGCCACCACATACACTGGGAATTTCTTCAAAGGAAGTTTCCCCAAAATCACCATGGCTATTGAGACAGCAGGGTTCACATGAGCTCCTGGAAAATTAAGCAAAAACAAGGGTAAAATCAATCATCTAGCTTCCCAAGAGTGGAAAACCAACACTGCAATCATAAAGTTGATATTTTTTGAGTTCTACTATGATTTAAATCTCACCTCAAGGGTAAATGATCAAATATTATACTCTCCTGAACTGAAATAGAAAATGTGTGTTTGAAGAACTAAGTACTACGTACTTAATGACTTGCAGAACAACCTACAGCAAATGTATTTTCTAAATGCACAGCTTATTTCAGTCAGGCAGCAGGCTGGATGGGGGCTATTGCAATGCATTATTAGGTTTGTACAGTAGGATGATTGCCCTGTCCCATTATCTGATGTGGAGGAACTTTCAGCTGTTTGACAGATGGCCACATATTCTATTTAAGAACAAATTGTCACGATCTTGGCACTAATGGCTGGCTTAATTTGCTCATTTCATTCATCTGTCTAGCTCTGCCCAGTTTTCATCCACTGCTCACCTGATCCACCTGCTCCCGCTTCTATTGAAACTCCTTGGTTCCAGCCACCTGTGTCAGATTTATCTTGAGTCTTAGGTGCTGAGAGGTCTGTAGCATTTATATAGGGTTCTGATTGCCTGAATCTGATCCATTTCTGTATTTGGAACTTTGAGCCTATCTGCCCGCCCCTGTATGATCTGTTTGCCTGGCCTGTCTTTGGACTTCTATTGGATTATTCTGTAGAATGAATCTGGATCTGCCTCTTGATTTCACCCTGTTGGTTATCCTGCCTTCCTTCGTCAGCTTGGATCTTATCTGCTGTCAACTCTGCAGCCTTCTAGGATCCCACGTCTGGATCTGGCAGCGTCCGCTGGGCCGCTGGGCATGGACTGAACTTTCAAACCAGGTTAGTGACTCACTTGCTCATAAACATCCTTCGACAGATTATCATATCCTGTGATTCTCTCCGATACACATTCCTGCCCCAGACACCCTAGCCGCTGCAGCTGCCACTGCAGATCCATTCTGCTTGTTTCAATAAACACTTTAAGCTATTCTACAATCTATCTTGCCTCTTGCCTCTGTTCTGAGCCTTTACACAAATTGTTAATACAGATCAGTTCATGGTTGAATAAATGACTCCTAGGTGCCCATATCCAGTATTTTTTTAACAGTGTCCTGTGTGGCGATGTGGCAATAAGAATAAATGTTTTGATGCCAAAAAGAGCCCAACAGATTTTACTTTCACAAGTGTAGCAGTATGGCAATTGCCATAATGCTCCACTTGTTTCATGCATATAAATGGCTTTATTATAATTATGTAGGGAGTTTTACAGTTTATATGGACACTGCAATGCAAATAGAACAGAAGAGGAAAAACAGAAGAAAAAAAAAAAAAAA